ATGGTACATGAGCAGTTATTGAAAGATTAGAACCTTATATAAATACTAAAATCAGAATGATTAATCAGGTTAGTATTTACTACTATTTTATAACTTTAACATTTATTTTATGTATTAAAAATAGAATTATTTTTTATTTATTCATTTATTATTGTATTTTCAATTGATGTAGTTGCTATTATTTCAAGACAAACATGAAACATTTGGTACTCCACAAGCACAAAGAGCTTGAAAGCAAATGAACCTAGGTAATTAGTAAATTAAATAATTATAATTCATGTATATTATTTAATTGAATAGCATATTCAAATTTAGTTTAAATAATTTTATACAGTTGAGTGGTGGATGATATATGGCACTTGTATTCTTGAATTATAAAAACTAGCAATTAAAGTGCTTAGTCAAACAACATCTGTAACAAATTCTGAACGTAACTAGAGTATATTTAGCTATATTCATACCAAAGTAAGAAACAGATTGAAGTTTGAAAAACTTCAGAAACTTGTATATACCCATTACAACATGAGATTGAGGATGAGACATTAGAAAAGAATGAGCATTGATGAGATAAATAATAGTTTTAATCTTATTAGCCTTGACCATATTTTTGAAGATGATAATCTACTAACAAAATGGCTACAAAAGAAAGAAAATCCTTCGTTAGATGGTCAAAACTTTAATTGGTTGCCTACAAATAATTTTGATAATGAAATAAATGTTGAACAATCATGCTAACCTCAAGAAAAGAATGTGTCTCATTTAAGTTCAAGTCTAACACCCAAGTCAGAATGATGATGGTGGGGGTTTAAGTCCAGATGAGGGTGACGGTGATGGTGCAAATTTTGGTGGTAATATGGATGCAAATCAACCTTATAGCCCACTTGAAGGAGAATTTGGCATTGCTGCTACTGGTGGACTTTTTATTAACATGGTAGAATATGGAGTAAATCCATCTACTGAATCTAATGAGGGTCAAAGTGCACATACAGCTCGATCGAAAGGAAAAGCCAAAAAGTACCACTATGATATTTCTAGAAGTTCTTCATCTTCAGGTAGGAGACCAAATTTTAGTAACTTTGAGTATAGTGAATCATTTGCTAGTACTCAAGGATGTTACTATCTACCGAAACAATCTAATTTTCAACTTCCTCATTGTCATCCTCAAATATATCCTCCACCTCAAATATATCTTCCACCTCAAATGCATTAAGAACAAAACGCTACAGGGATGGGATGGAGTCAACTTGATTCTCAAAATGAAAATAGAGAATTTGATCTTCCTCGTCATTCTATCATGTGGTAAATTTTAAAATATATATCAATAGTTATAGTTGATAGAATTTGAAATTATTATATTTTTAAGTTTGTAATTTTATTAAATATAGATACTTGGTATTTAATATATTATGTTTTATTAATATCTTGATTTGTCTAGAATTAACATTAAATATAAACTTGGCTTAAGCAAAAATTTTGTTGCTAAACCAAATATGAATGTTTCATTATAATCTAACTAAAATTATGAATAATTGTTTTTAGAAAATAAAAAATATAATATGATAAACTATTTTAAAAATCATTAAATAAGAGTTTTTATGATTATAATTATTATTATTATATTTTATAACAAATTGTGTAAAATTAAAACAAATTCACTATCGTGATGACCTTGATAATCGCAATGATCTCTGTTATATATGAAAACACGATAAATGCAATGCGATCGAAAACGTGATCGCGACCGTTATTTAAATCCATGTATAGGACCTCATAAATGTGGCTATAAATTCCAACCATGGCCACCTGCAATCTTGTCAATGTCTACTGCATTACAAGTATGAAAATAGTATAGGAGAAGATAGACAAGATGAGCGAACATGGTTTACTGGCGTTTATGTTTTAAAGTTAAAACAATTGATTGAACAAGGATAAGTTAGGAAGCTTATCAAATTTTGTTTTGACAACACCTAGCCACAACCTAATGAAGACTTCATCAAAAGAAAGCATTGAATCAAAAAGAGGTAAAAGAAAATCTTATTGTATACAAACGAAAACATTATATCTAAGGAGAAATTTTTGAATGAATCAATCTGCATACTTCAACACAAATTCTCTGAAAATACAATTAGGATGTAGCAGAAAACGAAAAAAAAAAAAATCAGTGGACCGCTGATTCAGATCAGATGGAGTAGAATAATCAACATCTACGAGGAAAAAAATTTTAAAAAGAAAAACAATTTACACAATCAATGATCTCCAGTCACCATCACTCGTGTACAAAAACCCCTCTAGCTCCTAGAGAATTAAACCAGTCCAAGCACTGCTCATATGTGTTCTGATACTTAGGAGTTAAAACTCCTCTGGCCCGGACATCTCTGCCATCTATTGTAATGGCACTCCAAAAAGACCTAATCCTTCAAACAGATTGCTCCTGTCTCGATCAACATCGGCATTAGAGGAAACTCAGTTCCCTCTACATCCATTTTCATCACCACAAAATCTCTCTCAGACACCACACTTTTCGACCACTCTGCTTGTTAGGCAACAAACCAACACGCGCAGTACCGACGCTCACAAACAAAAACAGTAGGCATTTTAGTCTAACAAGTGGTATCACTGCTAAATCAAACCCCTGAATCTTGTCCACATCCTCCACGTAATTAGCTGATGACTGAACTAGGTGTATCCTCCCCATTACTCTACCTTTCACCACTGCATTCTTTTTTCCGGGATCCCAGGTTATCTCAAAAAGCAATGTCTCATTCCTAATCCACGCCGCGTAAGGCAATAGCTTAACTCATTTCTTCATCTTCATCTTGTACTCCTCATGAAATGACTTATCGGCCTCAGCGAAGTAAATTTGAAAGCTTTTATTCTGTTTCGGATATTGTTTATTGAACCAGCTCCATACACTTGATTCATAACTTCTTGCTTCAACATCTATGTACACATACTTTCGTTTAAAACTATTGTCCACCATTGAAGTCAAGTATTTGATGTTTCTAATGTTTCTTTTCAATGTAATCCATTGTTTTAACGGTTGTCGTTTGATCAAAGGCTCCGCATTTCGGATTATTTCCCTTTTCAATTCCATAAGCCAGCATTTATCACCTGAATTGAAATTGAGAGGCGAATTTTGCCTCTCTTTCTACATCAAGATCTCCTGTATTGTCGTTTAGCGCCGTTGATTTCACGAGACCCGATCAATCTCAAACAATAAAACAGATCGAGAAACGATTGCAAACTGTACGCATCCTTAGCCGTTACGTGGACCACCAAGAACCCGCCCGGTTTCAGCGTTCGACAAAGGTGATGCTTTTTCGGAAATACCGAATGATTCCGAAACGCCGATTCTATTAAAGGCGTGGACTTCGTCTCCTGTCGGATTTTCAATGCAGAGAGAATTTGAATTGGGAGAAAGATATCCGTCGGCGACCAAATCTTGGAAAACAGAGGAGTAATAATCGATATTATATTTTTTAGAATAGAATGCGACGAGGACACGTGGCGGACGTTGAGGAGGCAGAAGGATGTTGTTGCTCGCATTCTTGATTGGTTCACCATGTTTTACCTTGAGATAAACATGACAAAAGCTTGCAGCAAAGTGCCAGTTGGCCATTCCCCATTGCTTTCATATTTTCTGTCCTTCTTAAAGCTAACCATGTGCTTAACTTTTAAAGTTGGAAATGGTAGGGTTATCAACCTGCATTAAACTATTTCACAATGATTAAAATTTTCTTTAACTAATACTAATTTACAACAAGAAAAAAAATTAATTAACGTTACTTAAGAAATGAATTAAGGTACAAGACAGTAAGAGTCCTTGTAGTTGGAGGATAAAATAGATTTAGTGAGATTTAAAATAATTATGATGGTGCCAAGTTGACATAATCATGCCGATGCGTAGAGTTACAGGTTGGGTCGTATTTGATTTTTATTTATCTTAAATTTAATTTAATTTTATATTTATTAAATTTAAATTCGATCTTATTTAAAATATTTTTTATTTTTTATATTTAAATTTGATTTAATATGATATTATATAAATCGTATTTAATTCAATTCGATCTAAAATTAATAAAATATTTTATTTTAAAATATAAAATATTATTTTTTAAATATAAATATTTAAATATATAATTATATAAATATATAAATAGATATAAATAAATATATAAAAAATAATTTTTTATATAATATCGAATCAGATCGAATTTACTTAAAATTTGATTCTGACTCGATCTTGATTTTTCTTTAATTTTATTATATCTGATTTGATTCGAAATTCGATTTAATAAAAAAATTGATCTTATGAAATCAAATTAAGTTAAAATTTATCGAAAATAGATTGAATTACTGATCCTACCAATGCGGTGCATTTGCATCAAAATAGTAGACGCGTTTGAATCCAAATCCGGCCTAAACAGATCGGCATTGTTAGGTCGTGGTGGCCTGCGGGTTGCCGGGCCATTAGCCATCGCTTTCTTTAATTGCAACGTGTGCTGCGACACCAAAATGTCCCACCACCGCTTTGGCTGTTCGTTGATAGAAAATACAAAACGTTTTTTAATTACAGTAACTTTCAAGAGAATTTGATGTACTAACTTGCCCTTTCTAAAATGTCCTGGTTCATTTATCTGATGATGTCGCAAAGGGATTATATAGTCATTTTGACTACCCTGGAAGGGGAGCTGTCAGGACGAAACCACCTATATCAAATTCATATGACCTTGACCAACTTGCTCACTAAGAAATCCTCCCCCCACCCTCACCCCCATCCCAGCTCTACATTTTTTACTCATTCCAACCTCAATTAAAACTTTGATTATCAAACAAACGATTGCATTGCTAATTAACCATGGATGCTGACATGGCAAATTATTACTAGTAAATCCAAACGAAATCCTGGAGTATGGGCTTCGGAATTGATTAGCAGGTGAAAAGCAAAAAGGACATGCACGAAACTGAACTTATAGTTTGTGAAGTTATCGGAGATCAAATTTTGTTTTCAAAGTCTAAAATACCTGCATAATCTAGCAGGCATTCAGACTGCACATCCGAAGCAAATCCAGCATTCTTTGTTTTTTTCAACTAACATAAAAGGATTTTTCTAAAGCAAATGGATCACTAGTTTGTGTGATTTAAAAAAAAAGGAAATGATTTGACGCTCTCCTGTTCTCGTCCACCCAAAGAGAGAGAGGCCTCAAAACAATAAAAAAATAATAAACTTTTACAGCCTCTATATAATACCAATCTGAATATACAAAAAAAAAAATGTGGAATATACAACAAACAAACAGAATGCAATTTACTTAAATGAGCCTCAGCTCCTTATTCTTGTGGCTTTCACTCCCCTCTATACTCCCCAAACCTTTAATTTCTGAGCAAATTTCAATATGGTAACGGCTCGATGAACACTTCATCTCTTGGTTCTTCCTTGGTTCTGGAAAACATTTTGTTTACATCTTGTGGCTGATTCATGAAAGATCCCATCGAGTTCCCAAATCCTAAGAATCCAAAGTTTCCAGTTCCCTGCAACATCTCCAGCATGAAGGGTGATTCCCCTTCGGCTTCCGCTGGCCTCAAACTGCGAAGAGGGTTGGTCATGGAATTGTTAGAGTGATTGTTAACAGCTGATGGCCTTATTGCCATTGCCGCATTGTTGTTACCATTATTGTTGTTGTCTGGTAAAGGTCTATTGACAGAATGGCTGCCACGAGCCGCCGGGACATCATGATTGTGCTTCCCTTCATACGTTGTGATCACTGCCCTAAGATCATGCGACGCTCGCTCAACATGCTTTCTCACTGGACATCCTGGATATGTGCACTTGTAATAGCTCCTGTAAGCATCAGCAGTTAGAACACAAGGCAAACACTTTTTCAACTCCAAAACTAATAAAGAAACCGTGGAATCCAAAGTTTAAGACCAAAACAAAAGGATTGCAGCCTGAAACTTGGTATTTAAACAAGAAGCACGAGTGCTTGAAGCATTCCTCGATAAAGTAACTTCAAAGCTACAACTTATCTTTCTTCAAAGGAGTCTAGTGTATCCAAAAGACAGACAGGGAGACATAACCGAACTCACTTTTTTAAGGCATAAAAACCGAACCCACTTTTTAAGGCATAAAAAAACTAAGACATCCTATGAATGATGTCTTTAAGAGTTAAGTATGATCGAAAGTTAACAAACACACATTTTAAGGCATAAAATACTAAGAGATCCTATGGATGATGTGTCTAAGAGCAATCGATGATCGAAAGATAACAAACTCTTGATTAAAAGAAATGGTATATAAAATCAAAGTGCTAATATAAAACTACTTCTAGAACATTGAAAATAGCACAACATTCAAAAGTCTACAGTATTAACTCATACAGTAATGCAGCTCTCAAATTTACCTTGGATTTGGATTTCCCTTGACCACTTTTTGCCCATATTTTCTCCATCTGTATCCATCATCCAAAATATCAATATCACTGGTTGTTTGAACTACAACTCTAGGTTCCCTCACAGTTCTACTCCCAGGTGCTGAAATTCCTTCATTTTCACCTTCACTTTTCCTGGAAGCAAGTAATATCAATGTTAGTTCAGCAGAAACAGAAAACAATATACTATATCCATGTCAAAATTGGAATTTATATTATCCATTTTCAAAATCTTTGACCATAAAAATAGTAGCCAAGATTTTGAGAAATTAAACTTACCATCTTTTGGCCTCAGGCTCGTCTTCATCAAACTCATCTCCTCCTGATTTACTCTTCTGGGAACCCTGATCGAAATCATCATCGCCGACTGATATAGAGGAATTTTCTGGTGTTGCAACAGAATCCATCTGTCCACTGCCATGAATTGCCAATGACTGATCCAGAATTTCAGAGCTAGCAGCACTCGAATTCTGAATAGAAATAGAAGATGATGATCTCCTAGTGGACTGAGGTTTAGGATGGTTATGACTACCCTTGTAAACTATCTCAGTTATCTGCCCATCTAAAGATCTCTCAACCTTCTTCTTTGTTGGGCAGTTGGTATACGTGCACTTGTAGTAACTTCTTGGGTTTTCGCTTCCTTTCACTTGCTTTTGTCCGTATTTCCTCCAGTTGTATCCATCCTCTGATCTTCTGCTCTCTCTAACTGACTGAGATTGCTGCTGATAATTGCAATAATCTGATTGGAAGCTGCTGTTGCTTTGTGAGTTACTTTGAATGTTGGCAATCTCAGGAGAAATGCTCTGCATCTGAGTGTATTCAGGTTTTACCATGCTCTTTCCCGAGGAAAAATCCTCTTGCTTTGCAGACTCGTGGAAACTCCAAGCTTGTTGACGTTGTACCTGAAAATTGGAATAAATTCAATGAAAATGTTAACAAAATCTTTAAAAGGATCAAAGACAAATTTTTTACTTGAATTGATTGAAAATAGTTACATACAGTTTGATTTGTGTTGGTTGACGATTGAAACATGCTTGACGAAGAGGTAGCTGGCCTTGGGTGAGTTTGGAAAGAAAAATCAGAGTAGTTCTTGTCTTCCTGTTTGACGTTTTGCTGGTTGTTTGCAGAATTGGATTTCCAATTGAAAGCCTGAGCTGGAAATGTTCCAGTGGTAGGAGATGGCAGAACCTGTACGTAAAACATAAAAGATAAGAAATATTCATCAATAAAAAAAATTAAAAGCAGAAGTTAGGCACAAGACAACACAAAAACAAATTTCAATCAGACAAGCAAAACCAAGATAAACAAAACTGATATTTCAGAAATCATAACAGATAATACAAAAGAAAAGCTTTAAAGTAAGTGTTATACTTTGTTTGGTTTCCTAGAGGTCAGTAAAAATCTAAACAAAGAAAATCTCTAACCTTTTATATTTCAAAGATAAAGCTCGAGTGAATAAAATTTTGGTAAAGTAAAAAAAAAAAAACAGAGCATAGCAAGATAGAAAGCAGAATCAAAGAGATGTAAAGATACATACGTTAAAAGCGTTCAACAATACAGGAGAGTCCAAAAGCTCAGCTGGGCTGAGCCCTGGAGGGATAGCAAAGTACGAAGAAGGTGACACAGGAGGAGGAGAGATAGGCAGTGACGGAGGAGGAAGTGACTTAAACTTAGGTACACCGGAGCCAGTTCTCTGGGCAATCCGATCGGACAACGACAACCGGCCTCCATGCTTGGCATCAAGGCCACCATTGACGGCCGAGGAAGGGTTTTCATTGTCGGTGGCACCGGATGCAAGAAGATCAGAGAAAGAGGTTGTCATGAAGGGATGTGTAAAGAAACTAAAGCCGTTTTGCGGGTGGGAATTGGCGGACGTGTCAAGGCTGCTACAAGAGGAGGCCATGAAAAAAAAGGGAAGAAAAGATAGAGATGAGAAGAAAAAAGTTATGAGAAGACCGAGGGCACGACTGATATGTGATGAGGAAGAAAGAAACAAGTGAAGAAGAGAAGATGGTTCCCCATTCTTTTTTTTTTTTTTTTTTTTTTTTTTTTTTTTTTCTGTTTGGGCTAGGGAGTTTCCGAGTAATTTAAGGGAAGTTTGACCGTTGAAAATATAGTGGGAATTGCCTAGAGAGGAGGGTGTGTTTTTGGTCAAAGCTGGTGGGTTTGACTGGATGGCGGCTGACGCTAAGGTAGTGAAATATATCTAATGGAGTATGTCATGAATACAGAAAATCTCTGCCTCTTTTCCCATTCTAGATGGAGAGGCAGCTCCCTCCCATTTTTTTCTTGTGTTGGCAACTTACTATTTGCTACTATAAAGCCATCATATACCGAATACGAGTTTAATTTCTTAATAATCCTTTTGTCAAAGCTTATCTAATAATAGATTTTCATCTTTAAAATATATTTGATTTCATTTTTTTAAATGAAATATTAGTTAGTAGAATTGAACTTTTACTTTTAATTTGATTTTTAATAAATTTAAATATTAAAAAATAAAATTATAAGTGGAACAAGAAAAGAAAAAAAAGTTAATGAACTTCATATTATTGGTGGAGATGATTTGGTACTTTGGAAGAGTTTGATGATGAATTAAAAAAATGTTTGGGAAAGAATTAAAATGTAAATAGTGAGGTTATATTGGAAAGCAAAGTTTTATCATCTATTTTCGTTCATTAAAATATGTGTATTTTATTTCAGCTAATCAATAAATAATTTAGATATACGAATTGGGAATAAAATACTATTTTGATATATGTTCCAAGGAATTTAAAAAAAAAAAAAGGTTCATTTTTTCTTAATCTCCAATCAACTTACAGAAAACAAATTAACATTCTTATAGTAGAAGAACAAAATGAGAGAGGAAAAGATTATGTCATTAATTTAAAGAGAGAATAATTTCTAGGTATCTGACAACAATATTTCATGATTTGGACTACTTATAGCAGTCTTCTTTGCCTCTCGGGCTTAGAACTTTTAACGAAACATTTACAAGGAGATATCTGTGTGACCGGCCTAACTAATATTTGTAAAAGTCTTGCAAGTTGCAATCTAGAAGAAGCATCAACCTCAGCCTCTTAACGTGTAAAGAGTGCGATGTGTATCGTCCAAGCCAAGCCATCCAGATTTATCTAGACGTCTGTGTTCAAGATTTATCCCTAAAATTGTCGACATAGAAATGATCAATATGAATATTCAAAACTAAAAAGGAAATACTATTGAGAACAATTGTTTATTTTAAACAATGCATGTCTTAATCGTAACATAAAAATCTACTCCTGTACAAATGATTGGGAGCAGACTGCATGGACTATTGTGCGTGTTTCCTTTTTTTTTTTTTTTTTTTTTTGTTCTTTTCTTTTCATTTTTCAGTAAAAAGCCTTCAGTAATTACGCATCGTTTGGTCAGTTAAGAAGAAGTGAAAAGTTTTTTTTTTTTTTAAATTGCCTATATAGAAATATTGAAGTTAGTGGTTTATATGTTCTGCAATGTTTTGCATAGAGTATTTGTCCAACCTTCAAATAGAATGATTCTGAAAGAAATCAGAGCTCAGAGAGGGAGGGGAGGTCACATCTAATTGCAGAACATTAAGGCAGAGACAAGTTTTCAATATTTGTTAGTTTGTTTCTTTGTCCTTATTACGAAGTATGCAGATTAATAAACAAATGGACATAATTTATGTTCTTCGTAAGGTTTTTTATAATTTATAAATACTCAATCTTTTATCTCATATCTTTAATTTTTTTATTTTAATTTTAAAATTTTTAATTAAATATTTATAAGATTCAAAGTCTAAGAGTTCTTGTTTATCCTATGCTAAAGAAGATGAGAATTTATCATCAGTCATTATAATATTTTTATAATAAAAAGGTCTAAAGTATGTACATATCTTTGTTTGAGTTTATCTTTGGTCTATTATTTTTTAGATAAGATCTAATTTATCTTCTATATTATCTATTTTAACAAAAAACTTATGAAAAAAAGAAGAAAAAAGATCAAATAAATCATTTACAACTCTACTGATAGATATATTATTAGATTCAAACTTATGATCTATATGTAAACTATGATTATAAGGTTGATCTTACAAATACAATTATCTTCTGAAGTAGATTCCATATTTAAAGTGCTTAAAACTTGTTGTGAAAATCTGTCTTAGGCTATTAATAGCCAATTAACAAAAGGCAAACCAAGCCTACAAATACGGGTAAATACCATAAAAACTCACAATATGAGTTTTAAAATATGTAATCACTTCAAAAAATAAAAGTAAAGTAAAGAGTCACTTATAATAATAGCTTAACCGGATAGATCTTAAAGTCTTACAAGAAAATTTGTTACATGAAACTTGATTAACCCTGTTTAGGTAACCAAGCTTTGATACTATTTACAAAAGGTGTGAAAAGGATAAAAAAATTAAAGAAAAGAAAAGATAAAACAAAGCTGAATAATAAACTATATATGTATATAAGCTTGGATGATTAGGTTGAGAGACTAAAAGTAGGATGATTAGGTCGAGAGACTAAAAGTAGGAGAAGAAGAGATATAGATATTGATGATTTACTTAGATTATATATGTATATAATCTTTGAAATAATATGATCCTGCAAAGTAAGACCATTGGAAGAAAGATTAAGACCTAAAAATTTAATTTCTATTTTTTCTAATTCTACTTTTTTGGGACTTAGAATTATGCCATCTAAAATAAATTCTTGAGCAAGAATATTCAGGTGTTTCTTGTGCTCATCAAGAATGTTAGAAAAAATAAGTATATTATCAATATATACACAACAAAACTATTTATGTTTACTAAAAATAGTGTCCATCCAATGCTAAAAGATTTAAGGTGCATTGCAGAGATCAAAAGGCATTACAGTCCATTGATAATGGCCTGTAGGTGTACTAAAAGTAGTTAACAACTTGGATTTTTCTTTAAGCATGATTTGCCAAAATTCAGATTTGCAATCAAATTTAGAAAAATATTTAGCATTTTTAGCTAAATTTAGTAAAACATCCTTTCTTGGGATAAAATAACCATCAAAAACAAGATTTTGGTTTAATCTTTTATAATTAATAACCATTCGAGGCTTACTTGTTTTACCTCTGCATGATTTCTTACCATGAAGGCAGGGCTAGAATGTGGACTTGTAATTGGTTATATCAAGCCTTTCTCTAATAGTTCTACAATTTGAACTTTAAATTATTCTATATCTTTTTTAGTATAGATCATAGGTTTTACTCTAATCACCTTTGTTGGATCAATGAGAGTAAGTTCACAATATCTAGGGCTTCTTTTCCATAATTTCAATAGTTCTTCACTGAAGTTTTCCTACAAGATCTTAAATAATAAATGTTTTTCATTGATTGCCTTTACTATAGTAGGTTTTAAACTCTTTGGTTGAAAGTTTTTATTGCAAATATGCTCATGTTCCTGCATAAAGGGATATCTATTGATTGTTTATCTATAGTAAGAGTAACATTATTCTTAGAAATAGAAAATGGTAAATACTTATACAAAAAATTATTACCTAATAATATATCACCATTTGGAAAACAAAGTATTTTTGGAATAATAAACTTTGTATTATTTAAATATATAGGAATATCTTTAGCTTTATATCCTACAATAAACCCTTACCTTCGATTCCCACTATAATAATGTGATACTTTATAGGTTGCCATTTGTTTAAAGGCAAAGCATTACTGCGACAACTGAAAATTGTTGCTCTTGTGTCTAGTAAAATATGAAGACTATATGGTTTTATAGCCTTGAAAATGAAAATCTTCTTTAACAAAAGTATAGTCTATTTTTATGTTTATTAGAAAATTGTATAATTTCATTAGAAAATTTAAAATTATTGATAAAATGAAACATTTTTATTTCTTCAACGGGATTTTTTCAAGAAGAAGAAATAGTAGAATTTAATAAAAAATTTTTGGAATGAAAATAAGTTTGTTGTGATTGATTATCACCAGCAAAAATAGGATTTTGAGAATTACCTGTACTGTTTGTACGCTGGAATCCTACAAAAGAGTTTCTGTTAGGAGTATAAAAAGATTGATTACTAGCTATACTTTCTAAATCATCATCTTTTTGATAATTAAAAGTATTTGAAGGTGGTAAAACCAAGTTTGGATTTAAATTGATTGAAGTATTTGGGTTTCTAAAATAAAGGTTTTTTCTTTAAGAGAAAAATTCTAAACTTTTTACCTTCTGTTTTTCAAAAGAATTTTTAGAAATATCCTCAAGACACTATCTTGTTGGGATAAAAAGATCTTTAAGGTTGACTAGTTTTGGTTTTATTTCAAAATCAAAATTATTTGGTTAAAAAATTTCTATAATATAAAGATCTATATGTTTGATAGAAGTATTGTAGTATTTGTAAATTCATAAATAGTAGACCAATTGATTGAAGGTCATGTGATTTTTCTTCAATATCAAAATTGGTTATTTTGACACGAAGACATAAACATTTTTCAATATTTTCATAAAAAATTGAAATAAAATAATTTGGTTTTACTTTAAATAAGACTACTCTTATTGCTAAATTGGATTGGATTCCTCCAATTATGGCATTAACAGGGTTTTTGAAACGATTATCCATTAAAACTGCAATTATAAGGATGTCTTTCCTTGATATAAAAAGAGGTTTAATAGTAATCATAATCAATCTTATATGAATATATTTAACTTTAGAAAATTTTTTCAAAAAAGGGTTTATTTTTTGTTTTGTAAAAAGAGGTATTTCTACTGATCATTGTTTAGAATAATTAGTAACAGTATCACCAAAAACTTTTTCAATATGATGTTTATACTATGGTTGAAAAGCTTTAAAATAACTAGTTTTATAAATTTCATCTTTTTTGAGTAATTATAATTTTTCAATTTTTTCTTTAGAAATATGATGAGTTTTACTCATCACATTTTTTAGTTTTATTAAACCTTTTTCTGATACTAATTTAGTATCTGTAGATATTTCTGATACGATATCTTGAGTAGATTTTGTATTCATCATAAAAATATATTCAGAACCATTATCAGATAAATCTAAATCGTTTTTAAAAATATTTCATAAAAAATTTCTTTATCTGATAATTCATCTACAAATAAAATTTGAAGAGTATTTTCTTCAAGTTTTTTTTTCTAGCACTTTTCCATTGTTAGGGCAAGCATTTGCATAATGACCTTCTTGATCACAAATAAAACATTTGCATGTTTGTTTTGAGGATTTTTTCTTTTTAACAACAAATTTGCCTTTTTTAGGTTTTTTGGATTTACTAGTTTTTTCTTGTATATAAACTATATATGTATATAA